AGGGGAGGCCTTCAGAGCTCACCTGCTGTCATCGTCCGTGAGGGACTGGAATGCCATGGTGGTGAGATGCCCAAGGATGAACAGGGAGCAAGCCAACTGAGCCGTCCACAGAGGCGACTTGCCTTATAGCACAGAAGGAGAGGCGGATATTTTCATCTGCTTCATGACTGTAGGCATATGCTGAAAGAAGGGCTCTAGGTAGAATTCACTAGTTGCCACATTCTATGTCCCCTCTATTGTCGACGTGCACTATAAATGGATCTGATAGACGGTCTACAGCATAATAACTCGTTCTGCGTGGAGCGAACATGTGTCGGCTAGGAATTTTAACGTGTGGCGCTCCGGGGCAGCGGATCTCGTCTGCAGGGCATGCTAGCGGTAACCCACCAGCGGTCTCAGGATTACACCTAAAGAAGCTAAGAAGAGACAGGGGATCCCTTCCTCCTGATGAAGTCGTCGCAAGGAGAGTGGCGTAGGCAGCCATTTGAATAAGCAGACCAAGCCGAAGGTTGTAGTTAACGCAGAAGCTCCAAAATGGTTCAAGCTGAGGCCCTCGGCCCTCCGGAGCTTCGCCTGGACGAACAACGTAAGTGAAATTCATCTTGAGGCTTGCTAGAAGTACGACAAATTGACGATCTACATACGGGGGTCGCAGGACCTCGTGAGCCGCCGACCCTTTACTGGCTGAAGGCCCCCTTCGGGGCAAAAACGATAGACCTCGTCGTAGGGAAGCAGAAACAATCCAAAACTGCTGCTTCCTATGGGTTGTGCATTAATATAATTTCTTGGAAAGCAGTGGAACCATTCGTTAGTTGGAGCCGTTCCTGACCCGCCGCCAGCAGCCTCAGCGGCCTGCCAAAGGTCCACTAAATGAACCAGCGTGCAAGGTACCGTGCGCAAGGGCATGCATTTGGGGAAGCATTTTCTTACTATTAAAAAGGATATTGCAAAAGTTTCAACCTTGTGGAGACAATGCTGCCTAGCTATGGGGAAGGAAAGTAGTAGATCCCGTGGAACACTTGAAATGTCTGAGGAACGTCCCTCTTGTATGCTTGAAAGATCCCCCGATATTGCTGCATTCAAGAGGAAAGGTAAGAATGTTAAAATGATTTTTCTTAAATGAATCCAACAACTCTGTCAAGTATTTCCGCAGCCTAGGGATCCAGTGCGCTTTGCCGATTGAAGCCTACGTTTCACTATTTTTTCACTATTTCCCAAATTTCTGCTTCTTAAGGTTCAACGAACGGGTCACCCCTCTAAGTCCTCAAGCTTCTACCGGCAACTGCCCTGCTGTTGCTGGGGGTATTGCGGCGGTGCTCGCACTTTTCTTTGCCTGTGTGCCGAATTATGCAGCGCTTCGCTGCATCGAAGTTGAGCTGATACTTGCAGCTGAAGAGAATATTGTACCGAGGGGCGTACTTCCCTGGTGCTTCAATGTACAGCAATGATATGGGGACTGGAACTGGCGGGTATGTTCGAGTTGAGATTGCCGCTGAACCAACAGAACCACCGGCACAATGGAACGTGGAAACTATCGAGCTTGTTAGCTCGGCGACTTCAAGTGGTGTCACTGAGTTGCACAGCAACTTTCGTATAGCTTTCCCGTGCAATGTACATGCTATTTCCTTCTTTGTTACACGTTTCGGGAGTGCATTCTCTCTATGGCAGCCGACTGCTGCCCAGCAGTGGGCGTTTTCGAAACACATTTACTGTGATTTGCCAAGTAACAGCAACGCAATATCTTCCTGTACGTTCATGGTGGCAGTGCTCTTCGTGTTTGGCCGTCCTTGAACACCTGGCCGAGCAGAAAATCCCTAGAGGACAGTGCAAATAATGCGCTCTAAAATACACGATAGAGAAGATGCGGCCATTCAGCACAGCTTGTATGAATAAAAATGTGTAGTCTGCCTGTGGCAGGGGATGGGTGCTGGGGAGTAACGGAGAAGTACGGGTAGATGTACCAGGGCGGTGGAAAACATGCTTTCAGCAGAAGGGCAAAGCTCCACGGGGAGTAGGAGGATAGGAGGAGGGGGTCGCGGAAGTGCCCTGCAGCAGGCGTCACGGGATTCGACTGAGATTTTGAACGAAGGTTCCTGTCGCGCTACCCTGCATCTTCTCCTGGAAAAAATGTGCTAATAATTTTTCTTCATGATAAGCAAGCGAATGCAGCTGACTAGCTAGGCATGAGCCAACTCTTCTGCCTACCTGAGGCAGACAGCAAGCGACAACCATTGAAGCTGAACGTACACTAATTCTCTATTCCTGACAATTAGTGGGCGGTTGGGGCGGGGCATATTCTCTTTCAAGTACGTACCCGCACCACAGCAGAAATGAAGGAATAGGGGTCTTTGATTCCAAATCAGAGGAAAGGCCATCGATGGTAGATTGTTCCAGTCTGTCTATTGCGCCTATCAGTGTAGTCCCTTCTCAGCTGAAGGGTGCTTGTGAGAGCAGCTGAAGGATACAGTGTCAACAACGTTGTAAGTGCTTGCAGAGGGACGCATTGCTGAGTACCCTTAGGAAGAGTGTGCGAATGGACAAGCACACTGGCAGTCAGTGATATAAAAAGACAGTGCTATTCCAAGGGGCAAGGAGCAAATAAGTGTGTTGTTTCTACACAGTTGGGTCCGTGTTATACACTAGCAAAATTTTTAGAAAACAGATACTCTGCACTGTTCACTATTCTTCCTTCATCTGCGATCCAGGCAGCACCTGACCAACCAATTGGGTGCCTGCATCAGCACAGTGTCATGTATAGATAACGTCCGGTAACGACTGGGTGAGAGGAAGGCCACCCCAAAGGAGAACACGGAAATGGTGCGCAGTAGCGAACTGCAGGTGTGGCAGCAGCAGATAATAAAAATTAAAATAAGGTGTCTGAAACAAATTGGGAACCTGAGGGTGGACGGTGCTCGAAATCTTAATTCCTTGGTTTTTCTCTACGTGGTTTCTTCGACGCCGTGCCGATGACTCTGGAGGGTGCTCCAAGCCAGTTATTAAAGCGGAAGGGTGAGATCTCTTGGATAGGGGAAGGCATTGTTAAATGGCGTGAGGGATATTGGAATTCTGCAAATGCGCGGAGTGGGGTAAAAGCTCATTGAAGTGTTCAGATGGCTTCGCATGAAGTTTCCTCATGCGAAGCCATCTGAATCTCCACTGCAATACAAAACGGACAAGTAGCAGTACAAGGAACAAATGGGATAACTGGATAATGGTATGGCGGGGCCAAGGAGTGGCCAGCTGAAGCTGAGAGCGAACGGCTCATTTTTTGTAAGCTCAGAGTAAAACCGTCAGCTTTAAGAAGACAAAAGGCAGGACGTACAGTGCCGCAAACCTACTAGAGGGGTGTGGCCTTTCATAGTATAAGGCCATCCACAGGGGAACGTACAAACTGGAATATTCAGGCCCGGCATGCAGGAACATATGCAGAAATAAAGCGATACGACCAACAGCATACTTTAGTTTTGAGTAATGTGGAGCTGGAATTTTCGCAAGTACAGTTGCGGAAATGCAGCACTTCCGTATTCAAGCGACCTTCAAAATCACTTGCCAGGGCATCTTACAGCGGCCAAAGCAGTACGACTGGAGAGGATAAAGGGCATTTACTCCAACAAAAAAAGGACCTCCAAACGGGAGAGCTAAACGGAAAAGCAGATCATTAGCTCATGACGCTGCCTGTAGCAGGTGATTGTGACGAGTGGAGCAGCACAGGCTATATCTACTCGTGCCGGAGGCAGTTGGCAGGTTTTCAGTGCATTCACTGTAAACGCTCTTATCACATAAACGTAGAACGCACTCGGAAATTCTTGATGCATCAGACGCTCTCCACACACCGAATGGCTCTCCCACTGGTCCACTGGACAACCTACGGCCTGGTGCCGCTACACATCGCGCTTAGCCGATGAGAGGCTAACATCTGAAATGTCATATTCAGGTCTGTATTATAATTTATTTCAATAAATTACCACAGCTTGTGCCACGACATCAGCTTCCCGAGATAAAAACCAACTCACCTTACCGGCCACCTCACACCCCGGGGAGCCATACCACAACCACTTTGCTGTGATGCCCTATAATACTCGTAGAGTCATAGAGACAGTTACTTTCATGAATATTATCTTGAAGAGATAGTCTGCAACGCTTTTTATTTATCCGTCTGCGTTCCCAGTACAGGCAGACGAAGCAGGAATGAGCATTACGAGGCTGAGCCCGTGAACAGCTACAGAAAAGCTCTGCTTCCAAAGACCCATTAACCAGAAGCTTTTCAATTAATACATAAAAAACAGCAAACTGGGTAGGCTCTGAGAAATGTGGTAGGAAACATGACTGAAAAGCAGTTGTCCAACGCTCGTGACCTGCGTGTGGCAAGCCTCGTCGATGCACGATGCACTGAAGTCAAGGGGTGTCTCCAACGCAGAGGGAGGTGGAATTGAAAAAGTGCATGGAAAATATTTAACAAGACCAAAAAGCATAAGCGCGTTTAGTTTCACACAGGACAGCATGCAGATCCCGCAGGAAACCTCGCCGTGCTGCAAAGCTGCCAGTGCGCAAGGGCAGGAGAACACGGCGAGGGTATTCAGGTTTTGCCGCCTCACAACATTATTCAGGTCTGGTTTCAAAGCAAGCGGTATTGGCAGGTTTCTTTCATTGCATTCAGTTACTTTACTTCTTTTTTTACCGAGCCCTCTGTTTCCTTTCATCACCGCCGCAATGGCGCTCCTTCCTAGGTGGAGGCTAGCGCCCTGCTGGGCATTCTCATTATTAGTCTTTGTCATCGCTGGCTTTATCTTTCCTTCTTCACATGCAGGTTCGTGAAGGTGCTCATCTTTTAGGAAGCAGTATTTCTTCCTGCTATAATGGCACTGGATAGTTCACGTGGGCTCCCCGAGCAGGGTGCTCTGACGGGCATTCTGGCGCGAAACCGGCCAGTCTATTGCTTTGATTGATTCTGCACAGTAACCGATGGCTGTAATAATTGCTAGGTTCGATGTTTGATGTAGATGGGTACAGTTTGTTTAGGCACGGTACCAAATGTGGTCACTTCGGTGAAGGCGCCGCCATCCTGACGTCTGCGTGTTTCTTGGGTGTTTTTTTCTTCGCAATGAAGTGCCATCTCCTCACGTAACGGGTCTGAACTTATTTATATGGATCCACCATTGTGGGGGGTATTCGTGAACGGGTTTGAGGTTGTGCAGCCCCCCCTGCCCGTTTTCTCTCTTCCACCGTTTGCGTATGTTCGGTATTGACTTGCTTTGTACAATTTTCCTTCTCTAGCTCCGTCCATTATGCGCTTTTGACCGTTTGTGATTGCTCTGTGGCTTCAGCCGCCGGCTCGAACGCGGACCAAGTCTGCACGAAGCTTTTGGATATTGTTGCGGTGGTCGACGAATCGGGCTCCATTGGCACCACGAACTATGCGAGAGTGCGTTCCTTTCTACAAGGTTTCGCTCAAACCATGCCTCTTTCCCCTGACGATGTCCGCGTGGGTTTGGTTACTTTCGGAACCAAATCCGTGGTTCGCTGGGAACTCAAGGACCCTACGGCTCAGGACGTAGGCTTGTTTACAAGAGCAGCGGCCAAACTGCCTTATGCAGCAGGTTCCACTTTCACGCACCTTGGAATTAAGGATGCGGGGGACATTCTTTTCAACAATAAACGGGGAGGCAGGGAAGGTGCGCCGAAAATGATTTTGCTCATGACGGACGGCGCCAGCAGTAGGAGATCACAAACTTTAGCCGCTGCAGAAGACTTACGCAAACGCGGGGTGATTTTTGTAGTTTTGGGAGTGGGTGCGGGAGTTAACTCTAGTGAATGTCGAAGCATTGCAGGCTGCACTAGCAACGATTGCCCCCGCTACTTGCAGTCGAATTGGGAGAGTGTTGGCAACCAGATCACCGGCATCATTAAGGCTGCATGCGTAGACCTTGCAAAAGATGCAGTATGCAGCGAGTGGAGCGATTTCGGGCCTTGCGAGGGGGAGTGCGGCACAGAGGGGAGGCGGATTAGCACGCGTGTAGAGATTACCCCACAGCGGCCGGGAACACCACCGTGCCCTACCTGTGAGGCTCCGCAGGGCCGGTCCTGTGCTGACCAGGCTCCTGGGCTTATTCGAGAGGAGCCGTGTACAATGCCCGCCTGCAGAGCTGATGCGCATTGTGGGGAGTTCGGCGCCTGGTCCGAGTGGAGCGCCACTTGCGGGTCGGCAACGCGATACAGGGAGAGGGAGGGCTACGAGAATCCACCTGCTAGCGGAGGTGGTCTGTCTTGCCTTGAACAGAACCCCCCAAAATTTCCAAAGGAGGTAGAGACTGTTCAAAAAGTCCCTTGCCCAGTTCAGCAACAACCCGGACCCTGGGGTAACTGGTCGGACTGTTCCGCGACATGCGGAGGCGGTACAAGGCACCGCGAACGGCAGGGCTATCCTCAGGAAGGCGAGCTCCATGGGGGAGAGACGCTTGAAAAGCAGGGTATATCTGTACGGGAGACTGAAGCGTGCAATGAAAATCCATGCCCTGTCGATGCAACATGTGGTGAGTGGACTGCTTACAGCGCGTGCACGAAGGTTTGTGGCGGGGGCACGCAAGAGCGAAGAAGGGAACCTTGGTTAGATAATGCTCAACATGGCGGGCGATCGTGCATGGAGCAGCACCCGGAAGGTCCGGTGGAATCTATTGAATGCAACACGCAGCCTTGTCCTGTTGATGAAGTCGTCGGCGAATGGCAAGGATGGGGTCCTTGCAGCGAACAATGCGGCGGTGGAAAGCAGGTCCGCTACCGCGGGCCTAGCATTCAGGAGGCTCGGTTTGGAGGAAAGACCATCGACGAGCAGAACGACAGCCTCCCTGATGGCCAAAAGATTTTAACATCCGAGGAGAGAGCGTGCAATGAAGTACCTTGCGGTGAGTAGTCTAGGCCGTCGCGCAACCGGTTAAGATGCTTTGTACAGGGTCTAGGCTTCTGCCTAGACGAACGCGAAATAGTCGCTGTTCCGTGTGAAGTCTTCGTGTTTGAACCGTCGGGGACGTGTTTGGCAGACCACTTCTGTTGACTTCAAGTGGAATTGATGGGAGGTACCTCCCCTCATTTCTATGCAACTCATCTGTGAGTGGTCGTTTGCTGTGCATTTGACCTTTTTTCCAGGCCCATGCACACTTCCTTTCACCGAATGGACCGCCTGCCAGTCATGTTCCGGGAGCAGAACACGGGAATCCATGGTGGCTTTTGACTACGACGACCAGCGGTGCTTGAGCTCGACACATGAGGAGGAGAGCTGCGCGGCGCATTGTGGAGAGTCTTCCAGCGGCGGTGGCGGTGGAGGCGTTGGGGGGGGCGCTGGAGGTGTCGGTGGAGAAGGTTCTGGAGCTGATCAGGGGGGAGATGGGAGCTCCGGGGAAAGCTCGGAAGAAGAGAAAGAGGAAGGTCGCGGTTTTCCGACAGCAGCAGTGGCAGGCGGTGTAGCTGGAGGAATCCTGGCTATCGCTGCAGGAGCTGGTGCTTTCTATGGCATGTGAGTCTTTGGATAGTAGCTTCGCATTATTCTATAGGCTCCTGCGTGAAGGGCTCGTGCTGCTATCTCGCCCTGCCCTGCTTTCCTTCTGGCCAAGTGTGCTTCTAACGATTTCTGTCATTGACTGTTGCTCTTTTTTGCAGGAGCGGTGGAGCTGCTAGCGCTGCCGGTGGAACTGCTGTGGAGGTCATGGGGGAGGCAGGCACAGCTAATCCTCCTGAAGTCGAAAAAGAGTCCCTTATTAGTGCAGGCGAGCAGTCAGAGATGTGGGCGTCGTAACGGAAAACCACCACCTTGCGGAATGCGTTGTAACGCGCAAAGGTTTACCCATCGCGGAAGCACTCACCAGGCTTCTTAGCTTGACGTAGGCAAGCCGCACACAATGCAACATGCCCTGGTTCTGCCGAAGGCGCCCTGTGCGAGGCTATGTAAAGTTGGAGGAGCAATTATGCAAAGTGCGGTGTGCTGACAAGAATGCTGTTCCACGTGTCCGCTTGCGGTTTCTTCCTCACTTTAATCCCAGTCTCTTCCTTTACCTCTTCCTCCCGCTCGTCGCCTGCCCCGGGAGTCTAGACAAACAGGGAGAAGCTGCAGGCCTTGCTGAGAGCGAAACTGGGCCCCTTCTGCTGGGGCTGTACAACGCACCTTTTCCGGCACAGCATCAGACAGCTGCGTTTGTGGTTTTGGTACTGGGAGGGTCGGTGAAGGACGTGCTTCTGCGGCGTGCTGGCATCCCACCACAGCAGTAGTGATGCGTGCACCAGGAAGTAGTTGGGGTAACTCACAAGCATCGGATTACTTGGGCATTAAAAAGGCGATATGGGACGCGAACACTAGTAACAGGTTGAAAACTTCAACCCGCCGTTGTGGTTTGACTTGCAAAAAGATCGGCAGGAAGCCAAGGCTTTGCTACACAGGAGTGCAACCACGCGCAATTCAGTGGCGTCATGAGCATGCATGATGGAGGATGCGCTTGCATGGGCTTCGTTCTGCGTCGAGTTTTTCTCGGGAACGAAGGCAGAGGGGTGCATTGGAGGCGTTGTGTACTGGATCTTTACGTGATGTTGAAGCATTTGCGCTCCAGGACTTTTTGTTTGGTACGTAGGTACGCAGAGTGCGAGGTGCATGCTCGGCTACACGCGCAAGTGATTCGACATTTCAGATAAACTAATTGACGAACTACTGCCTTCGTGGGGCCTGCGTCTTTTTTTACCGTCCTACGTGTACTTGGGGAGGAGCGATGTGTGAAACAGTTTTGGGGATTGTCACTGCGCCCGTTGAGGCGCTCGATTTGGCAGTACCAGCGAAACCTCCTTAATGCTTTTGCGGGTTACCGAAGTGTACTATGCTTTGTCATTTCCTCCAAGGGGGGCCCTTACGGCTCTCCAAACTGCCTCATACTATAGGTAGCTTCGTAGATTGCGTACATAGCGGTTGCTGAACTGTGGAGTTGGTTTGTTAGTTCTTAGTTGTGGAGAGGTGGAGTGAGCGGGTGAATCTGGACAGAGCTATACTACGCATTCACCATCTATTCGCCTGTTTGTTCTGGTGTTGGGCATGACTAGGCATATTGAGTCACTAATTACCTTTTGCAAGGTTATGTTGACCTGCTGCGGCAATTCACTCGTTCCCCAGTGACTAGACACGCTGGTATCCATATTACATTCCTGCCACTCCACGAAGTCAGTGGCCCCCTTCTTGTGCTCAATTTGCAACGAACGAGGTGCCATGAATGCAGAATATACTGGGCGAACCGTAGCCTGTCGAGGTGAACCTTCAGAACCATCCCTGTATTCTCCCCTGCGATTCCTAACGGCGGAGGGGAAGAACTCCGTACGGTTCACAAACGGGCTTCATAGAGCTTGTATGGATTCACCTAGAGGCAAGGCAGAATAGCAAAACCTCTATATTGGCAATTCGCGACGTCGTGGCCATGTTGATAAGACCTCGACTAGGCGCCGATTGTGGGCGGTCCAACCAATGGCTCGCAACTTGGTGCTACTTCCCCCGATGCCGCGGAGCTGCTTCACAACCTGTAGCACGTAATTTCCCAACTCATTATTCAAGAAGCGGCATAATTTTTAAACAACGTCTGCGAGACGGAGCAGTATAGTGCCGTCACGGTTGGCGACCCCGCAAAGCTGAATGGGCGCGGCCCCTGAAGGCCGCTTCCTCAAGCTACTTCCCCCCTAGTGCTAGTCATTTCACATACTACATCCTACGCGTTTCTGAAGCAAATGGGCAAATAACAGCCTAACCGTTTGCTATATCCAGGATACACTCTGCCAGGAGCCGCCAGCTTCAGCTGTGGTGCCACTGCAGAGGGGGAATAACGACGGACTTGGACCGACGGTTAGTCGGCTACTGTGTATCAATATATGGAAAATAGGAACTTCCTTAACTTGGTGAAATGATGACGAAGATAAAGTATAGAGAAGCACTGTTTTAACAGACAACACGTCTCCAAGCTACACTCGCGACTGAGCAGCCACAGGCGCCCACAACCCACCGGCAGCTGCCTGGGAAGTCAGCAGCAATGAGCTTGCGTTTTGGGGCTTTCTTGATCCCACAGAAGAGTTGTAGTTAAATATTCTAAGGCACTGCCACGCAGCCGCTTCGCGTGATTCCGTTGCTGTTTCTGCTTCTGCCGCTGCTGCCGGACAATCGAGGGGGTGAGAAACCTGGGTTGGTTGGTGGGACACGCAGCTGAGCGGGGTCAGCAGCACCAACGGAGAAAGCAAACAACCAGTATAGGCAGAGGGTCTTTTGCCTCGTCTGTTCTGGTTGGAAGCAATCAACACTCATCATGATAGCTGGGGACGCTCAGCAGCACAGCGACTCTCCCTCCTGTGCGGTGTCTGTCACTGCTGGTTATGGCGCGTTTGCTCTGGTTGAAGGGACGGAAGGTTTCCGGTTAGGAGATGATCTGGAGCCTACACAGGTTGTGCACATCGCCTGTCACTGCTGCAAAACCGCAAACACATTAATTTGCAGCAAAGGGCCGGACGGTGCTTGGCTGCTGCGCCACGCTCCCGCCACGGCTCGTACATTGCCTGCTGCTTCTGGTCGTGATATTGAAGATCATGCTAACCCTACCCTGCTTGAAACTGGAGGGGATCTTGGACATGGAACTGGCGGAGCCACGGATGGAGACAGCTGGGCCACGGATCCCGAGAAGAAGCGGGGGCAGGAGGGCTCTGTCAAAGTAGCCATGCATTCGCCATCCGACAGTAGCAGCCAGCAAACAAGTGGCAGCTTGGGTGAAAAAGAAGGCGGTGACGTAGGCGCTCCACAAGAGCGTCAGCCGGGGGCTCTACCTCGAGAGGCTGTTCAGCCAGTAGCGGCGGCAGCAGCTGTGGTGGCAGGAACTTCAGTCTTGGCAATAGCAGCGCCGGAACCGAAGCGCGATGCTACCAAGGCCACCAGTAGGTTGCGCCTTTTGGCAAGGAACTCGAATTCTTCCACTTGCTCCTCGTGGGAAGGAGACCCTCGGGCAGTAGATGAGCCCTCCAGCCCCCCGTTGGGTGTCCCGGTTCCCATCCAGACTACTCCTAATAATAAGTTCACACCGCCGGCGACTTTAAGTCGAGAGCAGCAGAAAGATCAGCAGCAATTGTATCATCCGGGGACGCAGAAGGCATCGAAGGCAGTGCTCCCGCAGCAGCATCCAAGTGCAGCTCGGAGTTGTAGCTCCAGCAGTCGTAAGAGTCAACAGATCCATGAGGAAGTGATTCAACAAGGCGTCGCTGGAGTGGATGAGCATCAGCATCACTGCAGTGGCTGCAGAGACACTCGGAAGAAGGCCCACAGCGACGGGGAAACCTCTGAAGGCAGCCTGAAGCTGGCTGCTATCAAGGAGCTGCAGCAGTCACCGAAGCCAAAGCAGCCGCCTCACCTGGAGGCAGTGCCACAAGGAGCTGAGGGGGAAGCACGACAGTGCACCGCGACGGGCAGCAGTTGCACGGAGAACGGCGGGAGCAGCGGCAGCAATCGCAGCCATAGCAGCAAGCAGGCACAACAGGGCTCCACCATTGCGGCCATGGCCCCCTATATGTTAACGCGCGAGTGTGAGGGGGACGGAAATTGTCTCTACCGCGCCTTCTCGGATCAGGTAGGTGATTTTCTCTACCCGGGCGGAGGGTGTCCTCAGTTGGTAGATTGGCCCCTTCTGCGGCGCTGGAGCTACAGGTGACCTCGTCGAACCTCGCGTGTTGAGTTTTCCTGCTTGTTTTTAGTTGCTCTCTCTTCATTTTTGCAGCTTTACGGGTCTCAGGAGCACCACTTGTTCTTGCGAAGGCTTGCTGTTGATGTAATGGTGAGGCACGCTTCAGTCGTCAAAGGCACATGATGCTGAAGCGTGGTTAGACTCCTCAGGTGTCTCGAACTCTTTGCGGTTCCTGTTCCTATGCAGTTGAGATGTAAGGACACCTTCGAGGCCTTTGTGGATGAGAGCGAGGGCCCGTTCGAGCGATGGCTGCAGACCAAAAGAACCTATGGAGGTACTTGCCACCCATGGCTAAATTTGTGTGCGCGTCAGAGTCCCCCATGGGAGGACTAAAGAAGTTCTGCAGTCCGCGTTGCACACTATGGCATAGGCTGTAAGGGAGGGCTTCGTCTCTCATTGCTGAGAAGAGACTGAAGAACCAGAAGAGAGATACGAGTGTCAGAGGCACCAGAAAGCAACACCGGGTTCCGACGCTGGCATCCTGAGAGATGCTTACCACTTGCGCAGGTGTAAACGTGATCTGTGGTGGAGCGGCCAGGAGGTCGGAAGCATCTATCTATTTTTAGGCCTTAGGATGGCCATTTTAGCCCCTTTGGTTCCCCTTACAGTTGTTTGATTCTGCGGAGGGGAGCACTTTCTATCAGCGTTAGACTGCCTGCCTTCGTGTTTGCTGCCGCATGGCTTGGGATCGCTGATGATGTGGCGTGTGTGCAGAATGGGCAGACTACAGGGAGATGCACGCATTATTGCTGCTGTTTGGCACCCCAATTTTCGTCTTTGACGAACACCTTCAGTTACTGCAGGCCTTTGAGCCAGATGCAGAGAAGAGGAGGCCTCCAAGCCAAGAGGGCGAGATCCATACTCCTTTCCGACTCATGTGGCACGGAAAACTAGGCCACTACACTTCAGTAAGCAAACCGGAGAGAGAACTGACTAATGCGCACTTTATGTCCACTTGTTATTCCCAATGCCGTAACTTTGGGGGCATCCGCGTAGCCCAGGGAAGCTGGCAGGACCGCGAGGGACAGAGGTGTCTATGGCAACAATTTGATCGAGAGTGTGCCAGTGGTTATGTTGTGATAGGGTGTCTTCCAGCTCGGAAGCATGTGCAGTGGTGCTGAGTTTTTTTACAGCTCCATTACGTGAAGGAAGGCTTCCCGATAGCTCGTGGACATACGATTGGCGAGCTGGAGGCGGAGGGATTAGCACGTCTGGTCCTGTCTGTTGCCTCGGGAGGCTCCTCGGACAGCTCAGGAAGAGATGTAGCTTCCAAGTCATCCACAGACCCTGCTGGGACCCCTGCGGGTCTTGAAGAGGAGGCCCTGGCTGAATGTCTGCAGGTAAGTGCACAGGACCTGGCCGGCATCGCAGCTGAGCAGGAGGTCATTCTTGCTACCATAAAGAAACAGCGGCTGCAACAGCTGGTACCGCAGACCACGAAGATTGTGAATGAGCTTTGGAGAGAAGCAAAGAAGGAGCAGGAGGCCTGGACGACCCGCATGGCCAAGGGCGTGAGGTGTCCTCCATTGGTACCGTCTGCGATGGACTCATCACAGCGCCACAGCATGGTTGGGAATTTCACGGAGAGGCGATTAGCTCCTTCAGCGGTGGCAGCATCTGCAGAAGCAGCAGACAACAGCACTACAAACGTGCACGCGTACGGCCACTCTGGCAGAGGCTACGCGGGGTCCTCTGGTGTCGCAGGCCCTCCTATAGGTGCGCCCTGTGCAGGAAGTGGGGGGTCCCCTGGGGGGGAATTACAGCAGACGGGGGGCCCTCCAGGAGGTCTTTGGCGTGAAAACCGCCCTGGCCAAATTGTCAGATATGACAGGCCGCAGCAGCAGATGTGGCAAGAGCAGCTGCGTGTGAGGCAGCAAGCTTCCGTTACAGCCTCGCCGCCTATAGCGTGCCACAGCCAGGGACCGCCGGGACCCGTTCTCATCGCATCTTCAGTTGGGCCTGCTCTGGTCACGCCTACAGCGCAAGGGCTACGTGTGTCTACAACCCCCAGAAGCTTTGCCTACACTCATCATTTAGCTCCCCACAATGAAGTTGTTGAGCAGCAGCTTCACTACGTGCGACTGCCGGAAGGCCGACTTGTCCTGGCCCCCAGCGGGGTCCTCGGACCCGCTCGGCATGCCACGCTTCAGCAGCAACGTCAGTCGGGCCAACAGCCCGCGCAGCTTCTGCCTGCAAGAGCAGCAGCTGCAAACGGGCAGCGGCAAAGCGCCAGCAGCAGCAGCAATAGCCAAAAGGACGAGGTTCCCTGGTTCGTGGGATGGTTGGGCAATGGCAACAAAAGTCACGGAAGGTAACACTACCAGTAGTCACAAAAGCTTTAGCGCTGCAGGTTCCAAGCAGCAGTGGCAGGAATAACAGCAGAGTGAGGGCTGCAAGATAATGCGAAGACAGCGTTGTGGCGGCATCAGAAGGTCTGTGTGCGGAGACGCAAGCAGCGGGCCCAGAGGCAAAGCCGATGAATCAAGAATGCGAGTTAATGTCCTCCTGCGTAGTGCAGAGTCCTCATTACCACCGTTGACGGCTCAGGTTAGGTACGTAGAGGGAGCAAACAGTGCAGTGTGCAGTTTGCGGCAGCCAGCAGCCTGCGCAGCGGAAGCAGGAACAATTGGGATGCTCATATTCGCTGCTAACTGGGGCCTGTGGGAGGCGCCCTACTCTACGCTCCCCAGAGGGAGTCGTTTTTATGACAACTCCTCGTAGGGAGTGGTTGAGTGTTCACTGCTGCCGTAGTTCCCCTCTGCATATGGCAACTGCATATGGCAATTTATATGGGAGTACCTGCTTGAGCAGGTGGGGAAAATGATGCTTGTTTCCTCGAGGCAACTGAATGCCACATCAACGCCAAAAGTCGACCAATGCAGGCGTGGCCTAGCTGGTCCCAGAGACACAGCGTTGTGCTGTGGATGGAAACAGTGGCGATTTTGTAAATCCCTGTTGGGTAGTTGAGTTCTCTGGGGAATCAGAGGCCCCCTTAGGGGTCCCAAAGGTGACCGAGCAACATGACGGGCTATGCGACGTTACGCTTCGACCAAGAATAACTAATAGCCGCCAACTTGTCGTATTAGCTTCTCCACAAAGACAGACTCTGGGGCTTCGTGTTGCAAGTTGTCCACGGCATGCTGTTCATGAGCCTCCTGCTCGAGTTGTTGGTTTTCCGCCTCAGCCTGCGCCTCTTGCATTTTGCGAAGAAAGTACATTATACCGAGGGAAACCATGACCAAAATGACGAGGGGTTGTCGCAACAAATCCAATATGCTGAATCCCCCCTGCGCCGGGAGGTACCGAGGAACCCCTGTGGGTCCCACCTTAAGGGGCAGCGTAAGGGGGACTAGAGTGGAAGGCACCAGATATTCATTCAACAGATACACCTCACTGCCGCCGGTGCTTGTCGTGACGATCCGGTACTTTGGGAAGATCAGCCCCGGGTGCAGCACCTCCAGAAGGTACGATCCAGGCAGCAGAGGCGGGATACGGAATTCGGCTGAGGGTCCAAATGACCCCAAGGGAGAACCGTCCACACCTGAGCCTTTCCCGGAGGCTCCTCTGCTGGGGAACGCCGGTAGCACGGCTGCACTTCCAAGCTGAATCCCGTTTAGGGCAATTGTGAGGCCTGCCGCCTGTGAGGGGTCGCAAAAGATGTGGCCCCACACCTCCTCGCGGTCTACTCCCATACTCCCGCTATTTGTCGAGGCGTCTGTGGTCCGTAAGGATCCCAAGGTTGCCAAGAGGCAGAGGAAAACCACTCCGAGAAGTCGGCGGCACCTCATCGTCCCATGAATAACGAGGCGCAACACTGGGGCTTGTAGATGCCCTCAAGGTTGTTTCAAATTTTCGGCAAAACACGAAGCACAGCGAGTCCCTTAAAGTAACTAGGAGGTCTCACTAACCACTTTCGAGAGGAAGACGGGGAGCGGAGTAGCCGCCACGAGGATCCCACAAAGATAGCTTGGTAACTAAGCCGTGGCCTGGGGGTTGACTAGGAAGGCGATTAAATAGCCAAGAACCTTTGAAAGAAGGGGAAAACAGAAAACCAACATTCAGAAGGGACTTCCCCAGTTGCGACCGTTTCGGGGTCCTGCGTGGACAGGCGTTCCTCGGGGCACCCTAGTACTCTCAACAGTGACTACCCGTGTTCACAGTCTTGTCTTTCCTTCTTGCCATAGCTGAGATTACTATTTAGTGTGAAGTAACTGGTCAGCTGCATCTCTGGAGAAGCGATGCTCTGCATGCAATGGAAAACCGTCAGTCAGCCGCGACGCAAAACGCCAGTGCTTGTATAGTCTATCTTTCAGCCGTATTTGGTGGATCATGCCATAGATTATGCGGAAATGCTTCTTGTTCTTTGGTGTATGGCTACGAAATGGGGGGAGAGACGAAGCCACCAGGTGATTCCGGGTGTCCGACGCCCCCAACTGGTTAACGAGTTATACTGTGGTGTCCCCCTTCCTCCGCTAATTTTCGTGAAATTGGACAGGGACAAAAGGCAGAAATCATACGCCGTTTGTAGAGTGTAAGTAGCGGCACGAAGGGCAATCAAAGGGCTCTCACATAGATTGAGAACCTTCGATTGCACTCTGATTGAGTACGTTGCTCAGCATCTTGCACAAGGCAAGGTATTCTGCAGAGCGTTCCACTTTACCCTATGCGGAGCTGCATGAAAAGTTAAAGGGGTTGGCATTCCGCTTATCAGCAAAACACAAAGGTGCAGACAAAAAACGTCAACCAGTTGTATCCAACAGCACGGGAAGAACAGGACGCAGAAGCACAAGCACACGACCGTACAGTCGACTGGACATCGGCAATCCCGCTAGCCTCAGCCCTGAGTGCGTTCGTTGATCAGAGTGAGCCCACTGAACATAGCTAACTGCATTTCCGTGTAGACCAAGGCAACCGGCACCGCCACTGCAAGCGACAGCCGCTACAGAAGTTACTGAAGTTGCAAAGCTTTGTCTCATGCTTTGCTCTGGATGCGCCGCATGACGTCAGTGCACCTCTCACACGCAAATGGGACTTCCGCAGTGGCCTGCCCAGAGGCATCCGTCCCTGCTGGCGCATTTCCGTCGTCATGCTGAGAGGAGTCTGCAGGCCCTTGAGACTCCGAGACTTCGCTGGTTGAAGGCGCAACCCTCATCCAGCACCTGCAGAGAAGCAGCCAGCGAGCGAGAGGCGCTGCCCTAAAACTGAAGAAGAAATGTCTATAGATTACTCGGACAACCTAGCGCATTAAATTTTTGCGTGAGCCACTGCCGATGTTTGCTGGCGAAGATCCATCTTCAAGGGCAGCATGCGAACCTGACTGACCTCTGGCATCTCGGCCCTTGTGCTCTGTACAGCTTCATACACAAACCCGAATGCGAAGCATTCCCCTCCACAGAAGCCAGCAGGTTCTCGTCAAGTTGCTCTTCCTTGGGAGCCTCGACGGGGATCCTAGGCATGTGAAGTTCAACGCCCGAACACTGGAGTAGCCACCGGAGATCATCAACGTATGAACGCATCGGTTGTGGTGCTCCATTCTGCCCCAGGAATGGCTTAGACAATGGAGCCGGCCTCAGAAGCTTAGACTGCGGCAGCAACCGCTGTAGATATTCAAACATCGCCTTTGTCTGTGTGCATGACCGCAAGCACGATATCCAAAGTTGTACATGCGCGCCCAAATTAAGCAATATTTCCCTCTTTTAAAACAACGCCTACCCCAGGATATTCACAAAAAGACAACTCTCCGCACCACAAGCTAGATGCAGTTAACCGCGAGCTCATGGCTCTCCCTTGCTACATATAGGTGCTCACCGGAGCAGTTATACTCAGCTTCAGATCATTTAGCGAGCCAACCCGTGGTGACCCCACGTGGCCACAATTCTGCAGCTGCCGCGCTCTGGTAAAGAGGCCGTGCATATCTTGGCGCAACGGCAGCAGGAGACCCCAGAGCTGCTGCGCCTCCGCCACAGCGGCGGGCTGAATAGACAGGTGCATACGAGGCCACCCTACCTGCAACAGGGGAAGCCGCAGCAGGCAGGGAAACCCAGGTAGGAGACGTTCACGGGTACATGTAACTTGACAGGGCACAAAAGAGAATGCCCAGAAGAAGTGAAGAAAAGCGTGTGCACTGGAACGCACGCCAGTGGCTACCAGTAGGCCACAATAGACGCATCAAGAATGGAAGATAACATACGTGAAAGACAGAGGTCAAAGGACCGCAGAGACCGAGAGCATCTGCCAAGCCTTCGCCCTGTGGGCCTAAAGCCGCCATAATCTTGCTGCTGCGGTGAGCAGCCAGCGCTTCCCTGAGCGTTTTGGGCATTCTGAAAAATACCTCTTCAGCCAGATGGGGTGTCAGAGGAGACACGAGCTGTGTCAGCACTAGCAGCACCATAACGAGCACTGTCTGCGCATGCAGACGAAAGAACAAAACACAAACATAAAGCTGCTTCTAGTTTTGTTTGAAGATCTAGTGAAGAAGCCCAAGAGGCAAGAACCGGGGGCGTAGGCCGCACTCGTGCACACAGACAAGCAGAGAGGGTGAAAGACAGACGGCGTTGCTACAACCCTGACCTGGCAGCTGCGTCTACGATAGCCTTTAGGATGGTCAAGGTAAAGTCTGTCCCTCGCTACTTCAATAAAAGTGGCTGACAAGTCCTCGGAGATAAACCGAAGCAGCAAACGCAGGGCCTGTAGCAAAGCAAGGGGATGCAAGACAGCTGAGGCGCGATTCATCTTCAGCTGCAGCAAACATTTCACTGGTTGGGGACATCCCGTCCACTAGCACTGGCCAGAGCGCTAGCGCTCTCACCTGAGAGCCCTACCTGAGAGCGCTAGAGCTCTCAGGTGGCTCTAGCGCCACCTGCAGCAGGAGCTTTGGAACGTTTCTGTGCAAGTTCAGTGGCAGTAAATGAGTCTAAGCCTCTGGCCGTACCTTGTTGTGCTGGAAAACCTCGTAGGCCTTTCCCACATCGTCCACCAACGCCTGTAGTCTCAGCAGCATCCCTATGTCAAAAAGAGGGAGTTCATTTAATGGGAGCGCGTCCTAAGAATACGCAAAGAGCCAACCATCAGGTCAGGCTAACGCCACCCGCAGAGGCAGCAACTACTCCAACCAACAACTGAACTGCCGGGAGAGAGACGTAGCTGCCCTTAGTAGGGCAGCTACGTCTCTCTCTAATGCAGGTAGTTCTGCTGCTGGTGATGGTGACTCTCCTGCAAGCTCAGCTGCAGCCACTTTTGCTTTTTGTGCTGCCACCTCACCAGCAGCAGAACTACCTGCATTAGAGATATGCTGGTCTCATCTGCCCTGCTAGGGGCAGCTACGTCTCTCATGCCGCTGGCGCAGCTCCACCTGTTGCTTACGGCATTGATGTCGAAGTCCTGGAGTGAGCCAATGAGGTACCTGAATGCGTTTCTGAGCTTGATATAAGTAGTACTGGCTGCATGCACTACGGTGTGTCTGCTCTGCTGCTGCTCTTCCGAATCTCCAGGGCATGCCATGTCTCCTCCAAAGTCCAGGGCGCCCACAAACAGACGCAGCACATCGGCGCCGTACGTCACCGGGCCATCTTTTCGCTGCCTCCGTACACGCTGCAGCTGTTGCGGTTGCGCAGAGGGACCGCTGTGTCCATGGGGAGGCTTTCTTGCAGCAGCTGCTGCAGCTTCCTTTTCAGCAGAGAAAAAGATGTCTGGCGATAGCGCATTCCCCTTTGACTTGCTCAGTTTGTTGCCCTACACCCAGGACCCCGCAAAAGCAAGGCCACACACCTCAACGGAAACGGGTGGCCTAAGCTCAAAGCTTAGTGGGAGTAAGGCAGTAAGTAGCAGCGGCAGTAGATTTGGGATACGTACGGTAGAGTCTAAGACAAACCCATGGGTGACCGCGACGCTGAATGGGAGTTGAGGCAATACTGCGTCGTCCAGGGCTGCCATTGCTGGCTTTTGCTTGTCGTGGAGGTTTCCGTCAGTGCATACTGTTGTTCTGCGTTTCTCCGCTGTCTGTGCAGTCACCCCTTGTGTGCCCTTCTGGCCTTCAGCCTGCACGGTACCAAGCCTCAGTTGTTGGGCTCGCTGACGACGGAAGCCCTCCCTGGCACCTGCGTGGGATAACAAAAGACTTTGGAACCAACCCCTACTTTGGTCTGAGCCTTCTACTACTAAGCAAGAATATCCTTCTGTTTCTTTGACGGGTACCAGATCCTTTGGTTGCCGCGACGATTGCGGTGCTTCCAGCTGATGCACACGCAAGGGCTGCTCGTGCGGGTGATGTTCAACTTGCTGCTGCCGTCGCCGCTGCTGCATCTGGGGAAGATATTTGTTAAGGAAGATGCTGGCGTCCTCTGCCCATTGCTGGACGAATTTATGACCCTTAATCCATGCAGAAGCGGCATCGAACCAAACGTCGAAAGTCGCCTCGCACCACCTCCTCTGTCTCAGCCTGCAAAATGCCAGAACGACTGAAACCTGTACCTTAGCAATGGCAGAGCTATTTCCACTGCTGCTGCTGCCGCTGGTGTCACCGCCGTTGCACCCCGTATTTCGCAACAGTTTAGCTCACTTGGACAGAAGGCCTTCTGCACCGTGGATGGCCGCCTCAGAAGACTCAGCGTACAGCAATAAGTCACTGTCAAGTCGCATACTTCTCCATCTCCCTTCGTCCGTCTGTCCCGGCGCATATGCGCTTTGACAGTGCGGGGCATCCCTGTCTACTTCATGTTGCTCCACAAGTGGAATTGGAAGGCCCCAATGCCTTTGCCGAGAGAGGCACCACGTTGGCGGCCTTGTTTGCAGTGCTGCGCGCATGCGTTCGTATCCAGGAGAGGCGCTTGCTGTTGGGCCTGCTGCAAATGGGGCACTTTTACCTTGTTCTTCCTGCCCCTGTAAGAGTTCCCGGAGTTCTAGCCCAAAAGCGCTGTGGTGTGTTTGGTGCTGCTTCGCACTGCGCCTTAGAGGCAGCCACCTAATGCGCTGCAAATCCCGGAAGATCTCCGGCAGAAGGTCCTTCACTTTAAAGTGCAACTGGGGAGTTGCACGCAGCAGCAGAGGACGCCCGCGGCGCTCATCGTGAGGGAATGGTAGCACAACTTTTTGCTGCAAACGCAACCACACACAAAACGCCCCGCACATCGATAGGCGAGCGGAAAGCGGGGGCCCGCTGCTCAGTACACACATGCAACCGCAGCTGTCAGTAAACGCTGTTCGTGCATCGCTCCGCAAAGCCAGATATCGTTCAGCAAGCCATGCATGCGCCCTTCGCTAGGGCAGGCGGCGTTCTCAAGCACTTACGCTAAGCAGTAGAGCTTTACTGCTGCGCAGATATTCGATGATGGATTGCTCTCCACCACTCAGGGCTTCAAGGCCTTTAAAGGGCTCGCTACCGCTGCCTCCTAAAAAGGTTCCCTGGGGTCCCACAGGACACAACAGCGGGGCTCCTACCGCAGTTGCTGCTGCTTCATCCCCCAGGGCGGGGAGCAGCGGCACATTTACATGAGTTGTGGGATCCGTTGACTGTTGGACTAGGAGACCAACGCCCTGCCCTGCACGCTCACCTGAGGTTAACGCACGTAAGAGACAACAGCGTGCCACGGGCAATGATGAATGTGACTTGTTAACCGTGCCGCAGGCTTTATTATTAGGAGCAGTTAGCCCCCTGCAGCCGATTGTTTCCGTTATTGATACACAATGCAGTGCAGTTGTGGTCAAGCGTCTAAGCTGGCTAGGCCAGGTGAAGAAAAATCGATCACTCGAGGCTAAGTGCGGTCTATGTGTTCACACACAAAGGCGATAATCCTCTTGGGAATGCGCGGGGGCCACGTGAAGGATGGAAGTCCCCTTGTCATCTTCAACAGCGGGATCCAACAGGACGGGGCAAGTCACTCTGCTCGCAATAGGATGAGCATACCTGAAGAAGACGCACGCAGCGAGGGAGAGGCCACATGCTCCACAGACAAGGAAGAAGTGCAAAAGAAAATCTAGTAGCTCCTTTTGTTACTGGCAAATCCTTTAAGTATCTCCATCCCCTGCGAAGTCAGCGGCAGAAGGCTTCGACAGCGCAGCAAAAGCAACAACAATCAATTGTGGCAGTTTGTACAAGATGCAAATTGATTGCAAATGTCCGCTAGACACATTGGCGCACCTTTGATGCTCCAGGCAGCTCCCCGGGAGCGTTCCTATTTGGAGCACATCCCAGGGCTCCCCTGCACCCTGAAGAGCCGCCAGCAGGCGGTTTACACACCTCTCCCCCACTATCCATATTTCCTCATCTCCACCTCGAGGCCCTTTTAGAGAGGCTCTCAAGACCGCGTAGTGCGTAGAAGCGGAGACAGCAAGTGCCCTGTTAGCGGGGATTGTGAAAGGGGTGGTCGTCCAGGCAACGAAGAACCAGGGCATCTCCTTTCCAGTGGGAAAGGGCTTGCCATCCTCTGAGACTGGACGAGGGCCTGTTAGCAACAACTTGAAATAGAGATGGTCTCTGGACGTTGGCTTCAGCACCACCTCGCTGTCTGAGACGGTGCTTGCGCTGGAAGGACTCCAATATACAGGGGAACGCGACAGAGAGACTAGGCCCTAGACAGGAGACAGAAACATGAGAGGCACACTGGCATGTTCTCAACCAGCCCATTTGCCGCTCGCTGCCCCACCGTTACATGTGTCAGCTTATGGCTGTCGAAGACGCTAATTGCGTTTGTGGCAGTGTATGTTTGCGACTAGATGCGTCTTTCTCCCGTAGCAGCTTTCTGCATGCGTCTCCCTGCTGGTGAATAAATATCTGCCCAGAAAGTCGCTTCACTGGTCTCCACTATGCTGCTGCCAAGGCCCACGCTGTTCCACAGAAGCGCAAAGAGCTGCAGCTCGTGGACCTTGAAGTCGCTGTCCAGAGTCTTGTAGGCAGAGTCCCAATGCGCCCACACGCCAAAACTGCGCACGTATATGGCATACAGACACACGAACTGATAGATACACGCATTAAAAGACTAGTATTAGAGCGCGAGCGTCTTCATGGTTAGTGGCAATACAAGGAGACGAGAACCGGTGTGGGAAGAAAAAAATAGGGGGGGCTGGGGGGCCGGGGGGAAAGAAGGCGAGCACAGACCAGCATAAGGAAAAACCAGCGAGACGCAAAGCAGTCGTTACGGTGCAAACTGCAACGCCCTAAGTCAAGGGGAGGCAATTACTGCAAGATACACCCCAGTGATTATCTGCACAGTGACGGCTGAGAAGACACTTGCAGGTTCAAAAAGGGTGCATACGCATGCATGAAACTGTTAAGAATCTAGCAGTGAAGCAGATGCGAAGGGCTCGCTGTCAGGATGATCTTAAGAAAGCGGCGAGGCAAGAGACGAGCATCCAAGTATAGCGCGAATCACACGAACAACACAGTTGTGGGAGACCGAAGGAAAGAAGCAATGAGGGAACATCAAATAGCAAATTAGCCGTTCTGCTGCTTTCAGCAGTAGCTGCTGCTCTTGAAGCCGTTAGTATGCGGCGCACCGTTGAAATGCATTTTGCTGCAGCGAAGCAAAGTGAAGAGCAACTAGCCGAGCTCTGTTGCGCAACTCCTCGGACCCAGCCTTGCCCAAGAGGCCTGTGCAACTGTCGCTTCTGCCTACTGTGGTGCTGCCGCCCTTGCAGCCGGTGGTGGTAGCTCCTCCAGTGTTTGGTTCTAATTGGACAACCCCTGTTGTTTCAGTAGGCTCTGCTGTGGCTGTTGGTGCAGTTGCGCCACGGTTACTCGCAGCAGCAGTTGCTGCGGCTGCTCTGAGCTCTATGGGCAACCCGTGACAATCCCACCCCGGAAGCATATGGCAACAGCGGCGTTGCAACAGCGCAGCTCTCACAGCAAAGTCTTTCAAGCACTTATTAACTGCGTGGCCCATATGCGGCTCCCCATTAGCATATGGAGGGCCGTCCAACAGCAGCATGGTGCTATCGCTGCTGCCATCATTGTTGCTCGGCGGAGCTACTGCAAACCCAAGGCAGTCCAGAACTTCATCTGAAGGCTTGCGCCTCCTCTTGTTGCTGCTAGTTGAGTTGCTTTTCTGGTCCTTCAGGTGCTGTAAACATTTGTTCATGCACCAAATCTGCAGGAGCAGCTGCTTGTACGTGTTGTGTCGCTGCCAAAGCCGTTGCACCGCAAGCTCAGACTTCCATATATCCCCGCGAAGGCGCAACGACGAACGTGGTAGCAGAACGGTGGAGGAAAACGCGTGGGAATTGTTGCTGCTGGTGCTGGAGTCTTTGCTGCTTGTGCTGCTGGGAGTGCGAGCTGGACGGCAATCCGCATCTGCAGAGCCTCTCTTGTCGATCTTTGACCTAAGGCCATCATCGTTCCCTTCGAATCCGACTCTGCATCCGCAGGAGTTTTTAGGGTATGTAGAGTTGAGGAATCCAGCAAGGGCACTTCCAACGTCGCCGCGCCCGGGGTTGACCCTGATGCGGCCCCCACTTGAGATAAAAGGGCTCGCCTTATGGCTGCCTGCTCCTGGACAAGCTACGAAACTGGTTGTTGTGCCGTGGCCTACTGGAAGTCGTGGCAACAGGCTTGAAGCAGAGACACTGAAAGGAAGCACCAACAGTAGGAGCAGGGAAAGCCCCGGAGAAAAACGCCCAAGGCGCCGATGCTGCGAATTCAGATGGGGCTCACCATAGTGTTGCTGCTGCTCAAAGGCTGATAATAGGGGCCCCTCTGCTACCCACGGCGAGGGCAGCCTTCCCCTTAGGCCCATCTGCCGAGTCACTGCCGACGGGGGCCCTACATCAAGTACAAAGGACAACACTAAGCCACAAAATGTCAAGGGAAATGCACGAAAGGGCTAGAAATGCTTTGAGAAAGGCATGAGCTCAACTACGAAAGTATCTAACGGCTAGCTCACGCACAGAATTAGCAAGACACTCTCGAGAGCGTCGGGGCTGCCTAGGCTCGTTTGCAAAGTGTAGAGGAGGGTTCTCAACGTACATCCTAGCATCCTTTACAGCGTGTTTTCGTGCAGTATAGGGACTCAAACACTGAAAATCTTGCTTCAGTATTTCCGACTGTCTTGATTGTACACCCGTGGGGTGGCGTCCTGTGTCCACCCTGGGCGTTGCCGTTCCGCAACGCTGGATACTTATTAAATACACTTTATGCAAAATGGAAGGACTGCGAGGGGTAATAATGATCACAAAAAACTACAAGGAATGGCAAGTAAGGGACTCAAGCCTCATTGGAATGGCGTAGCCTTAGTTAAAGCTGAGATGAAACTGGAGTGCTGATGCGCGCTGAAACGAGACCACGATCATACATCCGAATACCATCCTGAGCTGCAGTCGAGCCAAAATGCTTAAGGCAAGAGTCTCTTAAGGCCATCTGACGTCTCCAGACGTCCTGGGCACAACGGCCCACAGGCCTGTGGCTGGCGGGGAATAGGCCGCATGACATGAGTTGCTGCGCATTTCGTTGCAACTAATGATGCAAGGCGCCTTCTCATGCGTGCACGGCTAGACCGCCTTCTGGTATCTGCACTGAAGCTGTGGGGAATTGACACAATAGTGGTACTTCTGTGTGCGTGCAAGCTGCCTACGAAGGCCACGTAGTTGTTCATGAAGTTGTTCGTGAACTAACGTCGGACAGACCAGGCTACGCCAGGCTCCACAGCAACCCTTGCGTGTGTAGAGAACATGCCAGGAAGCCGAATCACTACACAATATCACACAATTAGTACTGGCCTATCATTTCCAAGGACGAACTTCTACTTCTAGCAGTGCCCACTCTTGAGTCCAAGCTCCTATCCAACCCAGAGTGTTGGTGGCAAACATAGACACGGGTTGTTAGTGACAAACAAAACCGCAGCAGTCAGAAACATCATCAGACGCCTGACAGCGTCCCCAGTATTCGGGCTGCTTGGTTTCGAGAAACCCTTCTTCCTAACAACCGGCGCCAATGACACAGCAGTTGGGATGATCCACTCCCCGCAAGCCAAAGACTCGAAAAATCACCAGATTATCTCTTCCTATTCTCACCTCTTCACGGAAGGAGTATACAGGTATCCAGGAGGTGAGAAGGAGCTCTGCGTGGCCTGGTGGGAAGTAACACAGTGCAAGCATTACTGATATGGCAGGTACTTCACCGTTCAAACAGAACATCAACTCCTGACGAAGACTTTCCGAGAATAAAATACTGCCGGATTGCGCAATACGACTTCGCAGTCAAGTACATCGTGCGTGCCACCAACGTAGCCGCCGATGTACCTTCCCAACATTGCAACCAGGCATTGTGTTCCGTAACTGCACTTGCCTGCAGTGGAACCTGCTTCCCTTCTAATTGCATTTTCTTAGTCTTTAAATACTCATGCGATTGTGGTTCTTGCTAAGCTTGGCAATTAACGGCGGGCTAAGAACTATTGCATAAGCGGCGGTCTCTTGTGGTACCACAAGAATCGTAGCATCCGCCCATCACACGGTTCAGCTTTGCTTAGCAAAGATGTTTGGTGGAAAATGCGCAGCCATAGTTTAGCTGGCCATGCTGTAGTTAGCACAACGGTGGAACGAGCGGTTAGGTCCTTTTGATGCCCAAGGATGCGCCCCTCACCGCAGGAGCATCTCCTCGCAAGCATATTCGGAATGCTAGCAGCTACAGCCGCAAACCACACTTAAACCTAGACTCGTCCAGAGTCTTCCGACATATGAGCGGATCTGGACGGATGTCTCAATCGATTTTATAGTGGGGTTACCACCAGTCGGAAGCTGCGATAGCATCTACGTCGCCAATACGATCTCAGCAAGTATTCCAGGTTCATCCCTTGTTTAAATTCGGTTACAACGGAATGAGAGGCCCAATTATTTAGTAATCATCTCTGGAAGCTCCACATTTTCCTAAAAGTAGCACTACTGGCAGGGACCGGGAGTTCGTTACCGCGTTCTGGCGCGCCTGTAGGGAGCGTCTCAATTTCGACCATACCATGACCACCGCAAGCCGCCCTCAGGCTGACTGAAGGCACCGACCGTACTCCGTTGCAGCATGTTGGACTTTTAAACCTGCAAAATTCGTCGAAGAGGCTTGAGCTTCTCCCTTTTACGGAGTGGGCTGTATTTTTGCCCAGGCCTAGTGTCCGGCTAGACAAAGGTGTTTCGGTGAAGACCGGGGATGTCAGGGAGCAGCCGTGGACTCTTCGAACCGTTGCTCTCTGATATCCAACATCTTCACCGAAACACCGTTGTCTAACCCGACACACAGCATTTGGCAGTGTATCACTCCAATGCCTAAAGTCAACTCGAGTTCAGGGTCCTCCTTTTGGGGCTGCAACGCGCCCTTCGTCCTCTTTGAAACCCACAAAACTACAACTGCAAAAGTAGACAAAAAGCCGAGAAAACGGAAAAAAGGCAGTAGTATTCAACTGTACGTAGGGTATCCCTCTCAGCATCTCTAGAGAAAGCTTTTAAAGAAGCCACGTAGTAACTGGAGCGGATGAAGGAGGGTCTCGAAAATGGTGGGGAGGAGAAGCTGGAGGAGCCGAAGGCGAAGTTTGAATCCCTCCAGAAGCTGATCAAGGAAGTGCTACGTGACAAAGCAGACAAGGTTGTACCCAACAGAATCACAGACTTTCCACGCGTTTTAGTTGTGGAGAAGCTCAGCTGGGCTGCCAACAGTCAACGCACCACCGAGGCCTAAGCAGTACGAGACAATATCATGACGATCTCCATGTGCAGCTGGTGGAACCATCGAATGCCTAGAAACAGCATTTACGAGCGATCTCCCACACGAGGGCACGTGCTTCCAGCCCGACTAGTGGCAGGTGTAACATTGTATACCCGGCGTTGGCACACGCACAATTACATGGCCCTACTAGACAGTCTGCACGGAGGGAGAAGTACAACAACTATCTACAGTGTTAGCGCAGACAGTTAAAGCGGGTTTGGCTAGTTTCGCATGAGGAATTGCCCAGCAGCGTCAGTCGCAACAAGGCGCGTTGCTGCTCATTCCAGGCCCGCCCCTATCCGCCAGCCTCACGCCCTTGAGCCGTTTTGCCCAGAGCATCTGGGGGCTGAAGAGGAGGTCAAATGGCTCTTCTGAACTCCTGATTTAAGGAATTTCGCTCGAGTGCAACTCAGGACGGTCCCGTGACAACGTCGCGAGCTCTCTCCTACACACATACTTCATCTGCTAGAGCTAGCGAAGTTCCGTCACCCATCAATGCGTGAACCCCTCAAATTCCAATAAGTCTGCAAGGAGGCACCTCGTGCGCCTTGCCTCAACTCCGATAGAAAAGTCTATACACTCGTCGTTGAACACAACGAGGCTGGGACCCCCGACACACTTGTAGAGGAGGTTTTCGCCGGCAAATGTGCACTCTGCTAATTAGTGAATGCGTTCTTATTCTTGTATAATTGATCTTAAATACATAGAATACGCTCTGCCTCGAGCGAACAAAAACAGCAGACTGAACGCTTGTAGCAGCTGGAAGCCTCGGTGCCCCACAGCGCCCGAGAGCGCCGCCGCAGCAGCGGCCGCTGTAGCTGGCTTTAGGTCTAGCTACAGCTTTTGTTGCGGTCTTTTATATTGGTTCGCTCCGATTGGACATTCTTTTGTGCTTTTGTTAGGGCTCTGGTCTTTTCTTTTACAGCAACTCCTCAGCACGGACTTGCAGTGTTGTACATTGTGCTGCCGCCGTGGGCGCTCCTGTTGCTTCGTTGCAGTGTGTGAGTTTCGCGCTCTGCCTCAGTACTTATTGCGTCATTTTCTTTTTCCGTTTTCTTTTTAGCTCCATTCTGTCTCTTTCTTCAACGCAGCTAAGAAAGGGGAAGTGCAAGAGGTTCCCACGGGGGCAGCAGCTGCTTTGGGGGCCCCCTTTGGCGTTCAGGCGCCGTGCTGAGCCTTCTTGAATATACTACAAGACATGTAGTTGCCGAGCCACCACAGTAGTGTTTGTCGCGTATTCTGACGTCTTTGAACCGCTTGCTGCTTTTTTGTCGGGCTGGCAGGCGGTTGCGTGCCGGCCTATACATACTGCCCGCTGCTCAGACACCCCACCCTGACTTGTGCTTTTGGTGAGGTTTCTACCTTTCAATAGAGCCACAAGAGCGCCAGTGCTCAGAGGCTCCACCTGTTTTCCGGCAGCAGATCTGCCGTTCTTCTCCAAGTGCTGCAGCAGGGGCCTCCGTGGCTGGAGGAGTTTGACAGGCGTGCTCCTCCCTCAGCAACAGCAGTAACAACAACAACAGCAGCAGCAGCAGTAAACTGGGATAATGGCGAGCGGCATTGGCGATAAGGTCGCGCTCGCAAACCCGTATGAGGTGCTCAAGGAGGAAGACGCCCTGCAGCGTCGGCTGGAGCGGCAGGCTGAGAGGGAACGGCGGCGTCGCGAGCGTCGGGAAATGAAGGCGGCAGCAGCTGCGTCAGCTGCTGCTGCTTCAGCAGCAGCCACAGCAGCTGCTGCAGCTGCTGTAAAGGCACAGCTCTCCCCAGGAGCTGCCTCCCTGCTGCAAGGGGCCCGCTGGGCTGACGTCGAGGTTGACTCTGAGGATGATGGGCCCTTAGCAGTGACAGTGCCCCACCGTACTGCGGCTGGTGCGGGAGGCGTTGCGGGGCGCAGATCACAGCAGCAGCAGCAACACCCAAGGGACGCCTTCTACTCGGACGTGGAGACATCTTCAGAGGAAGATTTCGCCAGCGATGCTGAAGGATACCCCAAAGGAGACTATTTGGCAGCTAGCAGTAGCAGCAGCAGCAGCAGCGGAGAGGAGGAGGAAAGGCCAACGAGCAGAGAAATACCAACCCGGTCCCCGTCGGAGGGCAGACGCAAAGCCAAAGGTGAGGAGAGGATCGGGTGTATGCCTGCTTTCCCTCCATGCTTCTTTTGGGTGCTTGTATCTCGTGCTCGTAGCGCTTGCGGCAGTGAGGGACGTGACAGCATGTGGAACACGTTTCGCGGCTTCAGAGGGAGAAAAAGATGGCTACAGGGCGAAGCAGCAGAAGCAGCAACATCAGAGGGTAGTGCGAATTTTTCTTTGGTGCCGTTGCTGCAGGTGCGGGTGGGGCTGCTGCGGCTGACCCTTTGAAAGGTCTTAGCAGGAAGGAAAGGAAGCAACGCGAGATGGAGGAGCTGGAACGGGCCCTGAATGAGGCGGGCCGTAAGTCCTTAACCCTACCCGCCCTATACGTTGCTGATGCTGTTTCTGTTGCTACAAGCTTTGTTGTTATTGCACCTCTTGTAGAGGTGCTTTAGCTTCGGTAGGTGCTGCTGCTAGGAAGACAAAGCAAAAGGGGAGGCGCTTCTCCTGTGTTGCTGCTGCAGTAACTCCATCTGTACCCGTTGAGCCGAAGCCGCAGCCGCAACAGCAGCCACAGCAGCAACTGCCCAAGGCAGGAAGCGGTGCGAGCGAGAAGAAGAAAAAGAAAAAAGCCCATCAACAGCAGCAACAGCAGCAGCAGCATCTTGAATCTGAAACTGAGGACAACGCAGACATCCCAGTAAGTACTGCGCGTCACAGAGTTCTGTGGCTGCCGCTAATGTTGCCTCTTTCCAGTGGCAGTGTATGCAACGTGCGTTGGGTGCTGATGTTGCAGGCTGCACCTGAAGACCCTGCCAAGATCGCGGCTCGTCTGAAGGCGGCAGCGGCAGCGAAGCGGAGCCCCGCAAGCAGCAAAGATTTGGCAAAGAAATTGGCCACCCAGGAGGCGCAGGCGAAGAAAGAGAAGGCGAAGAAAGAGAAGAAGCCGAAGCTCTTCTTCCCTCCAAAGCAGTGATGAAGCTCTAGACATTGCAGTGGCGTCTGAGACAGCCATTTTACGTTACCAGCCTAGCCAGCCCCAGTTGCTTCAATGTTTCTGCAGCAGCCGCTTCACGGAGGCCAATGAGAGTCTGCTGAACAGACACTCGCAGCTGCTGCAGCATTGTCAGTTGGGGCAGACTCTGTTCGGTCTCGGCGGCAGCAGCAGCAGCAACTAGTGCTGCAGCGAACACACCCGGGCACCGAGGTACTTTGCCGCGAGGATGTGCCCGTGAGTTTGTGCACGTGCGGCTGCACGTTTCAGTAGCCACTCTCAGGATTTCTTGACAGAGACAAGCAAGCAGAAACAGCTCGGAGGACCGAATGCTGAAGAAGCTAGCGGTCTCTAGGAGGAGGCTGGCCAACCAGCCGCCAGGGTGCTGTGTTTGCACCACGTGAGTTGTGAGGCGGTCGTGGGTGGGGTTGCGGGTGTGAGTACACCTTACACTGCACGCAACGTCTGCAGCCGTTTGACCCCAAAGTTTTTGGTCAGAGAAACAGAGGCAAGGAAAGGAAACCCCTGAGCTTCAGATGACTCGAGAGCTCTTACAGGAGCCAGTTGGGAGACGACTAACTCCCGCGTAGTGTTCACAAATAAGGCTAAAAGGGCCATATTGGCGGACTGCTGCTGCAGTGCAGCAGAGCACAAGCCTGCGTAAATGGCTTTTGGGGCACCACGTATACAGACTCAGCTACATTCTGCTCACTACGAGCTTGCAAGAAGCAGAAGTGAAAATTTTGAAGAACATAGTTTCGACGTAGCCCCCCTACAGATTAGCAGAGAGGCCCCTCCGGTCCATGGGCAAGAAAGGCCGCGGGCGGGGGCCCTTGTAGATAGATGTTGGCCGAATTAGTTTGTTGACCGCGCGCTGCTCCAGCACGTGGGCCGCCCAGCCAGCGGTTCTCGCAATGGCAAACAGGGGCGTGAAAAACCGGATGGGCACTCCGCACCTACAGCAGCAGCACCACCGAACAGATTGTCTGGGCGGGTTGCAGAGGCTGCGGGGCGACCAGAGGTACAGCAAACGCAGCAGCAACAACAGCAACAGCAGCATTCATTAGTCTGACTGCTTGTACGCAATTGCTGCCGAGAAGTCGACGTTTGCGTGCATATTTTTCCTCCTGAGCATGTGCTCCTCAATAAAGGCCCCAATTCGCACCATCTCCGGGTCGGAATCGGGCAGCTGTGCAGCGGCGAGGGCTTCGGCCAGCCGGCGCATCAAAGGAGCCCTCGGGTCTCCATGTTTGTACATCCGGTGGCCAAAGCCCATGATGACCTCCCGGTGAGCGAAAGCTTCCTCCAGCTGCGGGAACGCACTGTTAAACCGCAGAGAGAGTGCTATGAAAAATCACAGCAGACAACTACAGCAAGGGAATAGACAACAGCAGCAGTAGTAGCGGCAGTGGCACAAATAGCAGCGGGCAAAACGAAGTGCTAATGCTGCAGCAGCGGCCTCTGCACCCGTTGCTTTGCTTCCTCAATGGAGGCCAAGGGGAGCAGCATCTCCAGAGCTGCTTGGTTGGCCCCCCCGTGCAAGGGCCCCTTCAATGTTCCTATTCCCGAGCAAATGCAGCTGTAGAGGTCGCTGCGGGTTCCCGCAGTAACGCGGCACGCGAAGGTCGACGCTGCCGCAACAGGAGCAGAAGAAGGAAGCAAGAAATATCAGAGTCACGTGACCAGCAGTAGAAACAGGAAATATCACAGGCACCGCGACAAGCAACAGCAGAAGCTTCAAGACAGCTGTGCGGGCGCGAAGGACTGACGCCTGCCGTTTTGATGCATAGAGCAGTGTGCAGCGGCCTGGCCCATCTGAGAGGGAAGTGATCTGGGGCCCTCACCGTTGAAGTCGTGCTCTGCGTACAGGATAAGAGATGTGTCCAGCGTCTTCGCCACTATGGGGTGGGGCTGTGCATACATCTCAAAGCAAAGCAAGCCCATACCGAGGCTCAAAAGCCACCCCCCAACCTGCTAGAAGCTAAGTGTTGGTACTCCACCTTCCGATTTCTCACAGTAAAGGCCGGGTCCCCGTTTAGTAATTTCAGAAAGTTTGTGGCTACCGAATCCTCAGGATCAGACGCAAGTGATATTTCTTTGCCCGAATTGGCGAAGTGGTACCAGTAGTTCAAGGCGCCTCCGAAACAACCAATGAGACGAATTGCAATCTGCAGCCACACAGGTCATGAACCAACCTATTTTGCTGTTGCTGCCGTTGATGGTGCCGCTGTCGTTGCTCCAGGCTGGTGCTTGCATGCATCGATGATGCCAAGGTTGACAGCGATGTGACCAGTACAGACTGCAGAAAGCGGATCTCTGGGCTTGGCTGTGCGGCAAAGCATACGTCAACCTGTTGCTGAGGTGGGTTGATTTCCGGCTCTAGAGTGCCCACGACAGAGCACGTCGTCCTCAAGACATCCTGCAGCGAGAAAAAAGCAAGAAGGCGAAAGTTAAGGAACTTACACGCTACTGTATCGTCTGGCTCTGCAGTTACTTCAGCTGATCTTGCAGCTGCCGCTTCTCAAAGGGTGAGGCATCTGATCATCGCTGCGGTCGAGTCTGTCTCACCATGGGATGGGCTTCTTTCGGTATTTGTCTGAGGACTGCGAGGAGCGGAGGTGGCAGCTGCCTCGCCTCGTAAAGCTTTTTCTTAAGGGTTACCAGTTGTTGTTGGTTTGGTAGCTCGCCAAGCAAAAGCAAATGCACCACCTCCTCGAAAGTTGCCTCTCGGGCCAAATCCACAACATTGTATCCTCTGTAGTTCAGCCCTATGCATAAGGAACCATTCAGCTCATGGCCCTATACCACATCAGTCCTAATGTAAGCTCCATTTTTGGGAGCTATACTAAGCCATTCACAATTTTCTGGTGTTAACCAAAGGGCGTAGAGCCATGCGCAGCAGTGGCAGGAAGCCGAGGCACGTGAAAAGCGCTGGCCCACCGCTCCCCAAGGCAACCGTGCAGATAGACGACTCTCCAGCGACAACTCCGGCTAGGCCCCCCGACGACGGTGTCTTGGAGGACTCTTTTGAAGGCTGGGCGTCCGGACTCCTTTCTGAGTAGGTGCCCGCGCGCTCGGTGTGGCGTGTGGGGACAGAGTTCAGGGAAACAGAGTACGGCACAGAAGGCGACATGGTTACGAATACGCCTGCAATGGGTACACATGCACATGCTAAAGAGCTTTCTATTATGGGTCACACCAATTCAAGTGACCTTTGTGAGCACACGGGCCTTGGCGGATTTCATTGGTGAAGGAGGGCCTTTGATCCACTCCTCTTGCTCTATTGAATGCGCTCACTATTATTATTTGGAAATGCCTTGAATGCTAGGGCGAAGAAGGGAGGATAACACTCGACGACGTACACGGTTGTCGGACGGCGGCAGGCTACTTTGGGTGGACCACTCAAACACGTGGAACAAATGCATGAATTGCTTCCTATCTGCAGCGGCAGCTTCAACAACCGTCCATATACTTTCATTATTTTGAAGATTATTGCAATATATCGTACAGAGCGTTTGGCCATCAGACACACCAGTCGGGATAAGCCCGGCAAGGCCACTGGCCAACGAAGGGCAGCTCAAACGTCTGCAGCATGCCTCCTGCCGAGACGCCAGTTGATTGTAACATGCATTACGACATCTTAATGCTGTAGATATGTAGAAATGAATGCATTCGAACTCTTTGGCTGAAGAGACTGGAGGAAAAACGCGCCGACTGACGCTGTCCTAGAAATACCCCCGCTTTTAGTGGCATGCGCTGAATAGCTGCAAGACGGATGGACAGGGGGGGTCATTTTCACCTTACTTCTGAGGGGCTTCTAAGCGTTCTTCAATTCGTTAAGGTTTTGATAACGCATTAAATCGTCACAGCTCTAATCGCCTGGAGTGGAGTAGCTCGCTACCCAGTGTCTGCAGGCCGTTAGACAGGGCCTACAGGGGGTTAGCTCAACTGAAACGGAAACTACTATCTTTCAGCTTAGCGCCCCATCAAACAGCATGCGTACAAGATGTACCGTCGTTCTTTGACCTTCCGACAGCCACCGCATGCTCCCGTCCATGCCAACCGCGTAGGTCATCATTTCATGGGAGCGTACTCTAGGGTCAAATAAAAATAGACGCGAACAGTGCTAACTCACTGAGGTGAAGCTCACTTAAAGTAACTGCAACCTGCATAGCCGTCCCTATATATATGTAGCGTCGCACTGATCATCTACGACGGGAATTGATCCGGCTGTTCACTTCTACATCATGTGCCACTCATTTACTTTTTTGCACGTTGAAATACGGCAAAGTTTCGAGGTTTTTGGCCGTGTTCTCCGCCCTCCCAAAACTCCACAAACAAAGCTGCATGTGGTGTGCGCGCCCTCTGTAACATCAAACCTAGCACTGGCTGCGGCCACTGCTCGGCTGTGCTAGGGATGTGGGACACACTACTCCTCTGCGATCTCGTATACGTAGATCTTGCCACTTGTCGTCCCAACGAACAGAGTGCGGCCATCATACGACCAGTTGAGAGAAGTGCACCATGGAATACCGCTCTTGATTGGCTCGTCTGGATGAATGTCATCGAGCACATTCTTATTCTCGAGGTCCCAGATCTGCAGGAATCGAATAAGACAGGAGACACAGCGGCAAACTCGTAGTCAATACAAACCCAGACGTACTGATTCTACACCCCTAGAAAAATTGGCACAAGACGCTCCGCGCACTTTAAAGCACACAAAATGGCAAAGTGGACATATGACAAATGGTCTGAATTGAAGATTGCGGCTCGGACACAAATACGTTTGTTTCATACGAACTCTCTCGCGCTGAGGAGCCGCAGTCAATACGAGGAATGATATCTCTTCATTGCCGCTTCCTCCTGGCAGATGCCGCCACATCATGCAAGTTGCCGTGTGTTTCTTTCGCGAACGGGTGCTAATGCTTACCTTGACGGATTTGTCCGTTGCAGCGCACAGCCAGTAGTTGCAAGGAGAGAAGCAAAGGCTATTGATGGTGCAGCTCGCGTCCAAGGAGTACAGATGCTTGCCCTCGCTGACGTCCCACAACATGGCAACTCCGTCCTTGCCACCGGAGGCGCACAGCGAGCCATCAGGAGAAACCGTTACTGTGTACAGAACCGATGTGTGGCCTACAAGATTGGTCATGAGCTTGCAAGTCGTCAAACTCCAGACCTGAAACCGCCAGACAACATCCCAAACCAAATGCATCTGAATTCCACTCTTCTTGAAGGAACCTAAGTACTTCAATTAATCGCATCGTACATCGTACACCGCCGTCATACATAAAAGCCAAAAAACGCCTAAAAAAAATCGGTGGTGGCATCTGTGCACAACCACGAAATGAGGGGACACATGCCCCTGAGAGAAGGCGGGATATGTTGAAGCCCTGTATAGGTCTCGCTGTGCGACAAATTGGGCTTAACGAGACTGGTGAGGCAACGATTGAGTTTTTCTAGGTGACCCTGTAGCCCCTCTGCTGATGTGCATGCCTGTGACAGCCAACAGAGAGGATATGCTGGGCACCGGAATAGACCACCTGCGTGAAAATGCGAGACCAACCTTGACGAGCTTGTCCCAGCCGCATGAGACAATAAGAGGCTCCTTGGGTGACGGAGAGAATCTGACGCACGAGACCCAATCGGTGTGCTGGCCTTCCTCGATGGTGTACTTGCAATCTGCAAGGGTGTTCCACAGGCGAACGGTTCTATCGCGGGAGCCCGAGACGATTTGCCTGTTGTCTGCGCTGAAGGCGACAGAGTTGACGTCGGAGGTGTGCTTCTGGAAGGTGCGGACGGTTTCTCCTACGTTCAAGTCCCATAGACGCAGGGTCTTATCCCAGGAACCGGACAGCGCGAAGTTCGAGTCACTTGAAATCACAACATCCTGCACGCACTGGGAGTGCCCAGTGAGCGCCCGGCGAGCAAAGCCGACGCTTTCAGCATCAGGAGAATTGTTCAAATTCCACACGATGATCTTCTTATCTGTGACAGCAAACGCATGCGGAAGACACTTCCCCTACTCTTGTGCCACTTACTTGCTACAAGCAAACCGCACCGCACCGCACCCTCTCTTCCACACTACTATTAGTTTCACCAGACATGAATGCACACATGATCCATCAGGAACGACGTCTCTGCGCCTTCGGAGATTTCCCGCGGCATTGACCATCGGGTCTACAAGTGAGCTGGGATCTCGTGTCATCCTTTTCGCAAGAAACGAAAATAGACCACAATACGTGCAACTCCTTGACACACACTTGCGAAGAAAGCAAACAAAATTGAAAAAAAAATCAAGGACCTTCAGGAGCAGCGTCCATGACGCCCCTCAAGAGATTTCTCGCGGCACCGACCATCAGGCCTACAAGTGAGCTGGGATCTCGCGTCATCATCCTTCAAAAAAAGCGTGAAAAACTCGATATAAGAGCAAAACTGGACACACACTAGTCAATTTAAGCAAACAAACCTAGAGCACAATATCGAGGGACTCTCAGGAGCAGCGTCTGGGACGCTCCTCGGAGATTTCTCGTGGCATTGACCAACAGGTCTACAGGTGAGCTGGGATCTCGTGTCATCAGCCTGTCCCACGAAGTAATGTACTACAGAAAGAGAAGAATGAAACACCTCATGAAGTGCCGCCCCAATGGACAAGACGCAACAGAGCGACCGGTGAAGGTGCACCGGGTAGTGTAGGTGCCACTGTAGCCTCCTCCCAGCATGCCTCCACCTCAGCAGAGCCTGAAGAGAAGGATATGCTTGACACCCCAGTTCGACCAGCACAGGAATTAACATAGAGCTCAATGTCGGACAAGACTGAACGCCACACAGGCCCCGTCGCTGTCGGGAGTCCCCTGAAACCTAACTGCATGCAGATCAGGATAAATGGTGGAAATCATTGCAAGAAAGCGGAATCAGTGACGAGTTCTGCAGAGACCGCCGTATGAAGGCCAAGAGGACCATACCCCACAGCAAAAGCTCGTACGGGTGACCGCTGAACAGTAACGGCTTCGAAGCATTTTCCCAATGCCGCCTCTCCACAGAAAGAGAAGAGGCCTTAGAAATGCATAGAGGGGCAGGGGCAGCAGCCAACCACATATATATTTCATACAGTCCGCACGTCCTACGCAGAGTCGGCAACTGCGAAGACCCCGCCACATGCGGGGTGCATCCAGATGCGGAAGGGGAGACACAGCCTCAACGAATAATGTTAATAACATAATTCTAACCTCGGGAAGAAGATATGATCGTGTTGCTCGTGGCGGTGGGCGTAGATATGGCCGTCACCCAGTCGGTGTGGCCCTCAAGGACGCCCTTGAAGACGAGGGGGGAATCCACTGAAACGCTCATTTTCGTTCAATCTCAGAGAGCGAAACAGTGAAAATTAAGGCACAAACTCTCACGAACCTCTCGTTTCGCCTCGGCGCCCGTTACAGGCAGGCTAGAACACCTCGCGCATGCTGCGTGGGGAGCTAATGTTGCTGGCGGGGTGCAGCAGCAGCAGTAGCAGCCCCCTGCATGCAAACTCAGCCAGGATGGGGTTAGCTGCCTTCATGATTCGTCTAGTTCACCGACTGAAAATGAATTTAGTAATTTTCACAATAGTATAACTACTTCGATGCCACAGGTTTCCCCAACTTCCTGATGCTGTCTTCGCACCAGGCTCGGGTCTGCAGGTGGCCTTTGCCTCCGAGTTGGCTACCACTGCACTGTACGCATTCAAGGTGGTGAGTCAGAACTACTTTTGACTATTTACTGCCCAATCTGTCGATAAAAATAACAGCCGGGAGGTGCCAACTTCTGGATATATTCAAGGCCTCTTGCTTGCAAAGGGGATGACAAAACTTCGCGGCCTTAAGTGAGGACTGTCGAGGTTGGCAATGGAGTCAAAATATTACATAACAGCTCCCAAAAGGCATGTAAACTCCTCAGTATTATTCAGGCCTCGTGGGTGCACTGGCGCAAGGGCCTGGGGCTTTTGCGGAGAGAAGATAGTAGTGCGTGAGTTGAAACACGAATTGCTGTAACTACTGCTGCAAGTCAACTCAATACGCAGGCATAACCGAGCTCCATTCGCTGCATCCCGTAACGATGCAGACGATTGCTGTACACCTAACACTGTAGACACTTGTATATAGAGCAACTTGATGCGGAGGAGCTAGCCTTGACGCGAGCAATACGTGGCCCAACGTCACACACAGCATGCACTATATGCCCCCGCCGTGTCCCCAAACAGCACAGGCGCTCGTGCACCTCGGTGCGCAGCAAAGGATGGGAGGGGCGAGGGAAAGGAAGGAGGGCGCGAGAGACTTCAGAGCCCCCAACAACGAGAAGGTAAAGAAAAATTAGAGGGGAAAAGGAATGCAAAGCATCTGCTGACGCTGCTCGTACTGCCAACCCCGTCGTTCTTCCGCCCCTCCAGCCTGCTACTGGTGGTTACTGCGGCTTCCTGTGGCTGCGGTGGGAGCCTTATACTGCCGGTGGTAGTGAACCGCCTCCGCCAGCTCTGCAGCGTCGATGAACGCGAGGCGATTAGACCGGCCCACGGTTTGAGAGTATTTTTTGGCTTCTGGCATTTGAAAGACTGAAAAGACATTCCTTTGTTCGAGGGCACATCGTGCGCTGCGAAAAGGAACTGGCCGCCTGCACCACTGTTGTGTTGGCTCCACCATGGCCCGCTTAATCATGATCGCTGAAAGACAAAGCTCGTGACCATAGGGGAACAGGGAATGTTCTTCAGCGACCACACAGATGATAACCTGGATTTCCTTGAGTTAGAAGCTATAATGCGTAAGCTGGCAAAACCTCCGAACAACTCTTGCACCACCGAAGTCTTGAAAAGCTTTCAGGTGTTATGATCGATTTGAAAGGTGCAAAGCCAGCCGTATAAGGAATGATGAAACTTCTTTACTCCCCATTATACCCCATACAGCTTCTCCTCACTTATCGGATTCGGCTCTCTGTACAGTGCGGGAGTAGTAGACAATTGTTTGGCGCTGCGTTTCCGACTCGTCAGCTTTCTAACGGTTACCGCGCCAGCTGATTCAGACGAAGGCTTCTCCTTCAAGAGCGATGCCAGTACCACATTGGTTGGAGTGCCCTGCACAAAGCGAGAGTGATGTGCTGAAATTCAGTGCGAATGTACAGGGAAAGAACACGTATGTCTTCTATTTCCGCCGGGTCTAGTTGTACTCGTACTGCAGAGGCACAAAACACTGGCTAGATTATTATTTGCATGCCAACGAGCGCTATTGTGCCTTTATGAACTGCTTCGTCTCACGTGGCGATCGCAGCGGGCGCCACAGTTGTTAAAAAGAGTTCCTGGACATTCCGGCTGAACCGAAACAGGTTGTCCATTTATTAGCCACCCAGTCAACAAAAATATCTTGATCGATCACTCGCTGCAGTTCTACAAGGACACTCATCAGATGAAAAAACGGACATACAAGTTTACTGTAGTTTGCATGTTCGGCTGTAGAACGCAGTCCTGTGCCGGTGGTCAAAAAGTATTAAGACATACAAAAACGCATCAGCGGAGTCACCGGGAGGTCTCGCATCCGTTCTTCACAGCAATGCACACCCGCAGTAAGGCAGGTCGTTTTACTGGGCGAGCAAACATGCAGCTGCGTCGGGTGCCATTGCATGGACCAATCTCTCGTCCCGTGCCTTCTTCCCTGCTTCTAAATTCGGGGAAACAGCGTAGGCCTGATCGAAAAACTGAGTATATCAACTGCTAATACAAGAGCTGTCCAGGGCCTCCTCGACTTAGCACCACCTTGCCGCTCCTGCGGGGCTAGATTACTGTACCGGGCCCCGAGCCGAAGCCCAACAGCATTTTCTCTGGTACATATACAAAACTCTGCAACTTTGCGCTATCCATATTTCATTCTGGACAAGACTAGCTTTTTCGGGGCCGATTTCTTAGTTATTAGCAATTGTTTTTTTGCTTATTCGGCCTGTACCCGCTTGGCGAGTGGAGGTGACGATTTGCCTACATTGGAAAGGCTTGATGTCTGCCTTCAATTCTACTGTTTTTCGAGCTCTCCTTGATGGTCTCTTCCAGTTTACCTTCAAAGAGTCCCCCGAATCTTGCAAAAAAGTGGTGGATTGGCCTCCCCAACGAATGGGCACCCCAAGCCTGTCTTGCAAATGCAACCACCGAAAGCCCGCACATGATTTTATGGTGCTTCGGGGCTATTGAACGCGTAAAATCCATTATTTGACTTGGGGAACGGCTGAGCCTTTGACCAATATTTTTAGGGAAATGAAAAAATGCTTTCCTTTTGAGCAACAAAGCGTCTTCGCAACGAATGAATATACACCAGGTTGTCCCCTTGAGAGGGGGGTGTTAGCAGCTCACGACTGCGCTATTATCCATGCGGCGCTCCCAAGCACAGCAAGACTCCTCCGCCTTTGTCCGGTACCGTCACGATGCCAATATAGCCACAAATACTCGACAAGGATTCCCAAAACAGGCGGCCTTCTCTCCAGTCTCCAGGTACCGGGCATAGCGGCAGTGCCTGGTTTTAAAGTGAGGCGAAAAGGTCTAAAACGAACAAAACTTTGGGAGAAACGGGACGGCACAGTCCTGGTTTAGGACAGGAAGCAAGGACAAAAGTGCCATGCTCATCGCTGGGGTTTGGCAACCCAACAGAGCCGCACCGGGTGTGCCTTGGTGCAGCGCACAGTCACTGCTCCCGTGAGTAGCGCCGGGAGCACAAGAGTAGGGGAAAAAAATGAAAGTACACAATAATTAAAAAGTCACTTTAACAAGGAAAAAAGAAAAAATGAAGAAGACTTGCGATGTTAACTACCTCCTGGGGACTCAGTGCCGGAACGATCAAGCCGCCGGTCGGCAGCACCCTCAGCATCCGGCGCTCTGGAGAAGTGGAAGCACTTATTTTCCGTGGGTAGGTAGGAATCAAGACTTGTTTTGAATTGGGAGGCAATGTGAGATGCTATGTATGGACTGTCGGTGGGTTAGAGCACTTTCAATGGCCAGTCTACGGTCACCACTAGAGTACATGCCCACAAGTGCGGCAGAAGGGTTGGTGGGGAGAGCATGCGGCATACTCATGAGCTGCAGCATGCAAGGTACAACTACTGCTTCAAGGCAGCTCTACATTCAGGTATAAGGCCTAACCCCGCTCGTGATGTACGCGTTAATACTGTGGAAAAGTGTTGCAATTTTTTGCCCTCCAGTAGCCAGCAAATGGAAATGCATGCACCCACTCCAGGCATGCCATGTTACAGCAACCATGAGGCATTCACTGCATCCAGAACCTCAATCCTGCCAACTGCTTTTCAACTAGGTCTTAGAGGGTAAAGAGTCGGCAATAATCGTGACCCATCACATTCATAGAGACGTCTGGGATGGTGAGGAAGGAAATCATGGTGCACTACGAGACGCCGCATGCAACGAGTCTGCGGTCTTATCTGAAGAAGATGGTGGCGAGGCTCAATCAAGCAAACAGACCTACGGCATGGATTCCTAGCATCTAACCTCCCTTCCAGTCCCCAGACATTCTGGAGGCAGTGACCATGAAATGGGTTGCAACACACCTGGCTGCAACTAGAGCTGCAACGTATCTTCTCATGTGAGCACAACTAAGCTCGATTTAGCTGTGTGCAGTAACAGTGTTTACAATTGTACTTCTGCCTGCGTGCAGGCTGCCTCCTAAAGCCGCGTAATTGTTCATGTAGGCACCATGCTACATCTACCACAACCCTCTCGGGCAAACAACACACGTCTTCGTGTGCGTGATCGCTCGTAAATGTTGTTTCATTAGCTCCTTGATATGCTCCTTCTCCTGCTCATCCGATGCCTCCTCCAGCTGCACATGCAGCTCGTCATGTTATTCTCTCGCAGCACTTTGACCTCTACGATGCGCTACCAGTTGGCAGCCCAGGTGCAATTACCACCTCGTCTCCGTGACAACGAATAGCAGGTTTAGTTTGGCTGTTTCGAGGAAGTGCAGTTTACGCTACATTAGGTCCATAAGCAGGGAAGCCAAAGCAGGATTTGGTGCACTCAACAACAGACGTTGCGTACTCCCCAGGCAGCCAGTATCGCGAGGGCTGTAATGAGAGGGTTTGGGGGGTTCAAGCCCCCGCTTTGGCTGGTGCATATGCTTGTGATGGTTGACAGGCAACTAGCCTGAGCATCGTGAAGAGGTTTCGCTAGGCTAGATAGCTAGCTACAGCTGCTGCTGAAGAGCGTGAATGCAAGGAAGTCGAACACTTTCCCATGAAACTGGGATCTGCTCTCACCGGCCAAAGCCGAACGAAACACAGCACCAGGCCTGGATCTATATGCATAAAAGACAGAGAGGTGAAAACATTCTCCCGTCCCGTGAGCTGGCCCAGAAGGAAGCTGTCTTCTCCGGAGTGGAGCCTCCTTCGTGATTCACTCAGCATGGCCACACTGCCTCCCTCGTGAATGCCTCCCTCCAAATTGTAGTGTGTAAACCTGCCTACCAGACTTTTCTCCTGGGGCTGGGGGGCCGGTTAGGGCGCAGTACGCCGATTGCTGTACCTGTATAGGCTGCTGGGGCGTCTTACATACGCGTTCTGCACAAGGGGCTCAAAGAGCGCAGGTGGTTCACTGCTATATTTGGGGAAATGCGTAAGGTACTAAACTCCCAAGTGAGCAGCCAGGGAGCTCCCAGCCAAGCGTCTCTGCTCTGTTGGTAGCCAGTTAAGGCAGTCGAAAGATACTCCTCGGAGGAGTCCACCATCAGCGCTGAGTCACATGCGGGTTCCACCCCCATAGATGCCTGAATGCGTGAAGCCAACCCACTGAACCAGGAATCCTCCTCGATCTCACCCGCTGGCTCTACGACAACCCCATTTTGGTTCATAAAACATGTTGGCGCTCTCGAGCTCCGATGTCTCATCCGGCCGAGAGATTGAAGGCTTTGGCCTGCTACGAAGCTGCGGAATTCAACAAGCGGACTTCTGGATGACATCTCTATGAAAGTGTCGATATGGGTATTGATGGAGGAATCCTCCGGCACTTCTACCTTTTTTTTTGATGCGACAGCCTGATGATCCACCGCCTCGTCCCTCGTGGGTAGAGCTTCGGGTACGAAAAGCATCGCGCGACCAGCCTTGCAAGTGCAGCGGGAGAGGTGGGGAGCGTTGGTCTTTTATTTGCAACGAAGACTAGAACTCACAATAATCACGAGCCATATTGACGGTGTTAAGCAGCCCCTTGTACTGAGAGGCTGCTACAGCTCGGACTTTGGTAACCATTGTAACAATGGCACCCAGAAACTGCTGCTGCTTGGACTCGCGCAAGGCTCACAGAGCAAAGACCGCGGCTAGAACGCCCGCTTGAAGCAAAGAACATTTTCTTGTTGACGGCCTCCATCAAGATAGACTCCCATTCTTCATGTGATGATGGCACCCGGGCCTAACGGGCCACGGATTCGAAACGGGCCACTGTCTGAGAAGCTCTGCCTATAAAAGGGATGTTAGGGGTCTCCTCTTCTTTGCCCAGCCCCGGCCATGATCTCCCTCATGGCAATCATATCACAAAATTTGGAAAAGTGCGAACTTGCTAAGGCCTGGCTAACAGCATCTTCTACCCGCGGCCACTTGCGGAGAAGGGAAGGGGACCCCTTCATGTTGACACCCGTAGCCGTGAATTAAACAACACTAGGAAACACCGATGCTGTACTGCCTGAACAATGGGTAGCCTGTCCATGAACCACTGGTCTGCTTGTACCCCACATTGCCTCTTTTTAGCCCACATCAGGGCCTTAAGCTCGCGATACACCGTCTCTGCCTATCTCCATGCCGGTGCATCTCCTATCCATTGCATCCTGAAGCACGAGTAGACTGAACCACTAACGGCACAGGTGTTACTACTCAAAACGGCCACTGCAACCCAAAGCTTGGACACCACTCCACTCAATCCTCCTAATCCTTACTCCTCACAGCCAGGTATAGCACATGCACGTAAGCAGCAACGGCAATAAAGGGCGCGAAGACCTGCACGAGACTTGCAAGCCTATACGTATTTCTCTTCGTCTGATGCATACGAAATTCATCCATCACTTCACGTAGATGCATGCCTGGCTCCTGCCGTGGTTCGAACACACAGTCCCTAGTCTGACGAGAGGCACTAACACCCAGAACAGGCACACTATCAAAGTGAATCCGTCGTTTTGGCTGCTTTGATAGGCGGCCCTACATCGGCGACTAAGGCGCTCAGTTCTTCAGCAGATATGTCAAACTCACATATCATATACTCCATGTAATATTCCGCTCGTGGGTCTGCAGGCATGATCCTGGCCATGAATGGCATGAAGATGGCCATAAGATGGCCGGGCTATTAATAAATCCCTCCGAAAGTCGTAGTTATCTGAACCAACTCGCGCAATATCGTATTCCGAGATATTTTCTGAACTCCCGTACGTGCTCTTGATAAACCCTATCTTCTACATCACACGATGCTGTCCTCGTAGAACCACGCCGAATCCATAGAGCGACTGGACGTAAATAGACTCCGGCGGAGCTACACAGCAGTTCAAGTCCCCCAAATCACCTACCACTCGCCTGCACGGGAATGCGGGACTTCGAAAACGAGAAGTGAGGGATACAGAAGTGAACCTGGTGCCGGGACACTTCTGTATCCCTCACTTCTCAAACAGTCTGTAGTTATTGATATGAAGGGTGCGGGGGGGGGGGGGGGGGGGGGGGGG